GATACTTGAAAAAAAAAGCAAGATTCTCTTTCTTCAGTTCAACTTTGCAATACACTTAATTTCCACAGTCACATTAACTTAAACACACGCTGTAAGTTACAACAAACGATTTACACACTTTACCGCGCTTGACTCAATTGTCCGTCTCTATCTCTGCCTGTCTGCAATTCACATATTGCCGTCACTTTATTTACCGGCTGATATATACGAAATGGAGGGTGTCTGGAGAACACTCGAGGCTTCACGAACAGACATGATCTTTCTAGAATCTCATGATGTATTACTAGAGTCACGTGACTTCCGCTGTCGTGACACTATGATGGGACGTATATATATTTTAATAATGTTGTCAGGTGATGTTCCATGATTTTGCCTTTTAGACTTCTTGCATAATTTGTACGTTTCCAGATTTTTGTAAACACATATTCGTACGTTTTATCAACGTTAGTTTTGGGTCGAAAGTTAATCCTAAAAATTTTCCCGAGGTTGTGGTCTGGAGAATTGTTTCATTCATGTATAGCTTAGATGGGTGTTTTTATGTTTCGTTAGTCTTGTAATAGTAAGTAATTGGATTTTAGGAACGTTTATTTTTATTCGATATTGTTGGCAGTATTATTCTATATTATTCAATAATGGTTGTAGATTTGTTGCTGCAATGAATGGGGTTGGTTCACTTTTCCAAACCGCAACATCATCCGCAAATTGCGATGCAAACCCAAAGTTTGGGTTTTTTAAAGGCATGTTGTTCACATACATGATGAATAGAATAGGGCTAATTATCCCTCCTTGGGGAACGCCTGCCTCTGGGGTGGATGACTCAGAGTACGTTCCCCTGACATTTATTTTACAATTTCAATTTTTCAAAAAGTTAGCTAGCCAGCGAATAATCATCCGCGGTAGTTCCAATTCCGTCGTGGGGAACCTAAGAACATTGTGCCATACAGTGTCGAAAGCTTTCACGACATCGAGAAAGCAGGTGACAGTGCATTCATTTTAATTAAAGCTATTTATAATTGTTTCTGTTAACCTAACCAAGGGATCTGTTGTCTGTGTGAATTTTCTATATCCATTTTGAATTTCTGGTAATTTTGAGGTTACTTCTAGGTAATTTGAGAGTCTATTGCTTATTATTCGTTCGAGTATTTTTCCTACACAGCTGGTCAGGCTGATCCGGTGGTAGTTTTTTGGTTTATTTGCTGGCTTTCCTTCTTTATGGAACATTAGTACGATTGCTTGCTTCCAAGAAATCGGGATGTATCCAGAACTTAGTGATAAATTAAAATGTGCAGTGAGGTGTTCATACAGTCTCCGAGTGCCTTTTTTGAGGAGAATAGCCTGTATGCCGTCTTCTCCTGGTGCTTTTATAGCTTGTTGTATTTCTGTTTCTGTGATTGATTTTGTGAGCGGATATGTAATTGAGTTTTCTGCTTCATCAAATCTCATAATTGTATTTTGTATGTTAAATGGGAATTTTGGTGTGTACATGGTTCTGTTTAGTTTAATGTGGTTGTTAACTCTGTTGAAGAAGTGTACTTTCATGTCTGGTTCTTGGTGTGTTTTGTAGGCGTTCTTTAAATACCTTGGCCTTTTCAGTGTTTGTGTATGCTGTTTTATTTTGTGTTTTTAGAGGTGGGTAGTTACTAGTAGGGTTTCCTGTGTTAGTGATTCGTTTAAGGTGAGCCCACAACTGTTTTGAGTCAGTTTTATCGTTTACTTGAGAGCAGAAATTATCCCAGCTGTCTTGTTTTAGTTGTCGAACTTCATTTCTTATTTTGTTTCTTAGTGTGTTTATTTGTGTTTTAAGTGCTGGATCTTGGGTTTGTATGAATTGTCTGGTAGTTTCCTTCTGTATTTTTTTATGTGGTTAGGATGCTCGACTCAAAATCTGTGATTCGCGGGTTCGAATTCCCGTCACCGAACACGCTCGCCTTTTCAGCCGTGGGATCGCTAAAATGTGATGGTTAATCCCACTATTTGTTAGTAAAAGAGTAGTCCAAGAGTTGACTGTGGGTGGTGTTGACTAGCTGCCTTTCTACTAACCTATCAATTCTAAATTAGGAACGGCTAGAGCAGATAATCCTCATTTAACTTTGCGCGAAGTTCAAAACAAAACAAACCAAACCAAACGGTCCTTAGTTGAACAACCGGCCAAGAAGAAGGCACCCAGTCAGCAGCACCCGGAACAAGAAGGTTAGTTTTAAAAATAGGAAAAAACAAACAAACATATTTGGCTATATTCTTACATTAATGGTTTATAGCTTAAATAAACATTTATAGTTTTCAGTTTGTTTTGTGTATTAAATTATTAAA